GTAAATTTTCGAAAATTTCAAAAATCGGCGAAATTATAAGAAAAGAAGTGATAACGCGGGGCCGCGGCGACGGAATTTTCTGATTGGCGTTCCTTATTTGCTTCGTCGCGCCTGTCGGACAAAACAGGAGACTATTCGCGTTTTATGATATAAGAGATTCTATATCATTGTTTGTAAAAAATAATAAACACATTAAAATAAGATTAAACTACACGGTAAGTCGGTAACATACGATTATGAAAATAATTGTTTAAATTGAATGATTAATGAAGATTTTTATTTTTGTGAATGGCTGCCTATAGTGTCTATCATAAAAGTCATTTAAATACAAATATTCTTTGTATACTTTCCCTATTTACTAGTTTATAGATAATCGCAACAATAACTGACAATTTTGTCAAGGCATTCAAAGAGTTCGGTGTTAAATTAACTCACTTTGATAATATTGAAGATAGTGTATATGACAACACAAATTTATTTGGTGATGCATCGGTAAATAGTCAAGCACAGGACGATGAACAAATAGCTTATGATTCAGCAGAAACAACGGAGGAACTTGAAAATAGTTCATGGCTACCTCGACATTTGAGATGTTGTGCTCATACGTTGAGCTTTTTTGATACAGCAGATTTAATCAAAACTATCCGATCACCGCAAAATGCTCAACTAAATGAAATACATACTACGGTAATGAAAAAGTGTACATTATTATGGAATGCTTCAAATTGGGTCAAAAGGTAAATTTTTAGTTTTTTACCATATTATCATTTACTCTTATATTGTTTAATAATTACAAATTGATACTCAATTTATTTAGGTCACATTACAGACATTGGGTCATGATTTATCTAGAAATGGGGATAATGTTGGAACTTTTTGTATGACTCTTTAAAACAAATTTTAAAAAATAAGGAGAAAAAATTGTGAGTTATTCGAAGCATTAGGATTAAAGAATACCATGTTAAAAGATTCAGAGTATATTTATATAGAAGAACATTTAAAATGCGTTGGTCCTTTAGCAGAAGCATTAGATATTCTTCAAGGTGAAAATAATATTTTCTATGGGTTTGTTCTTCCAGTCATATTGAGTTTACGCCGTAAAGTTCAAAATGTATTACTAAATGATAGGAGATTATTGTAAACCTTTAGTTAACAGTATTCTTACAAGTATTGAAAAAATGTTTTCTAATATAATAAATTTAAATACAATTGAAGCAGAAAACACTGTAATTGCTGCATTTTCACATCCGAAATTTAAAAACCGTTGGCTAAGTTGCATTGACTCTTCTCAACATGATCGGCTACTCAAAATGTTTAAAACAGCAGTATAACTAATAAAATAGAATAAATAAATATTATGTCATCAACAGATTCAGAACCAACAGAATCACATGAGGAATCTCACGATTTTTTAACTTTGACCCAGTTGTTAGCACTGGCAGTAACGCTCAACAAAGTAGACGCTCTGCAGCATCAGAGGCAGAATTACAGGTGCATTAGTATACTTAATTATAAATTGTAATATAATAATTATTATTCGTATTTTAAATTTTAGGTCGTACAGTTTTTCAACAGTTTGTCTCAAGACCTGTCAATACTTCAGCAGTATCCGACAATCAAAGAAATATTTTTAAGACATAATACGCCACTGCCGTCATCAGCTCCCGTTGAAAGATTATTTTCTTATGCAACTATGACCAATTTACCAAAACCCAACAAGTTATCTGATGATATGTTTGAAGAGAGGGTTATTTTGAAATCTAATTTAAAAATGCATTAATTAGCATTAAAGTTATTTATTAATATTTGAATTATAATTATAATTAGTTATTTATTATTGATTACTTATTTATTGAAATTAAAAATTTGTTATATTTATTTATTTTCTTATTTGCTAAAATTATTTTTTAGATTTTTGTTATTATTATTTACTACTATTTATGATTGTTATTGTTTTATTATTGTTACGAAATATCAAATATTATCATCAACAATTATTCATATTAAAATATTATTAAACTTTCTTCTATAGATCTATATTTGTTTTATATTATACTAGCTCTAAGTGTAACTCGGGGCCCGTTGGACTCTCTGAGAGTGGGTACCGATTTTGGAGACAATGTCGTTGGAATTGTAAAAGTCGCAAAGGTTGTAAGACGTAAGTTTAGGATTTGTGATAAGGATTAGTGATATGGATTTGAAATAAGGCTAGACGCTTTGGCGGGAATGTTAAAAGTTTGAGCGTCTAGCAATCCGTCACAAACTTTGTAAATGGATAGGCTGGATACGATCTCCAGGATCACCTATATACTCTATACCTGCACATAGAGTGGTATGTTCCGTAGCATGAACGGTGCTTTATCTTATGTAAAAAGTGTAAAGTCGAAAACCGTGTTGGAGTTTCTAGCAAGTCAGTCATCTCAAGACAAAATCTATTAACTTTCAAGTTAGCCACTTAGGTAGGCAATCCGACTTTTGCCGCAGCAAATCAGGTAGGCAATCCACCTGCGGTGGATTTCAGACCCGACGTCAAGCGGCTATAAGTGAAAACCCTATCACACAACTTACGAAAAATTCAAACTATATACAATATACATACAAACAAATATGATATGTATTTACTGTGTGATATAATATAACAATGAACATTTTGAGAAATGTGCAATTATAATTTCTAAAAAAAATTAACATATAGGTTGATAGTTAGATACATACTATTATATTAACCAATACAATACATATAAACATGTACCTATTATAGGTATTAACTATACCTATAAATCATCTGAGACAAAATAGTTATATTCAAACAGAACTTTTAAAACCACAAATCTCCAAAATTAATAACACAAACGTAATACAAAACAAAATAGTTAAAATAATATTTGAACATAATTTACAATTAACATACTTAAATAATCATGAAAAAATAATTAATATATACACTAAAGAAAATAAAACTTTAACTAAAATCAAAAAACATTACAAACGGAAAACATAAAATCCGTAAAAAAAATCATAGACAGCAAAATAGTAAAGAATATCATTCGATTTGAGACAATTAAGTAAGTAAAAATATAAAAAAAAAAATAATAATAATTCAATTGTGTACATTTAAAATCAAATTATCTACAGGGAATTAAAATATAACATCTATGAATTGAAGTTGACAGTTTCATCCCAAATATTGACCTGGAAATTCAATATAAAAATTGCATTGAAACTGAAAAATTAGATAAATTAATACGTAAAATTATTTGGTTAGTTAACTTTGAAGATTTTGTAGAAGACCAAGCTAGTTTTATTCATAAAAAAATATCAACCTTCTTAAGTGGGTTTGATTTTCATGAATGGTAAGTCTCCTTGTCTTTCTGAAACAATAATTAATTTGATTAAAATATGATATAAACATCATATTTATGTAAAGCAAATTAGACTTGGCATATGATAACAAAATATTCACCATCATGCAGCAGTTAGTCGAAGACTTTATTATCTGCTGCAAAATCAATAACATTCACAAATTCATGGTGCGCATGCAAAACAATGCAAATAATGTGTATACTGAAAATGGAGACTATATATTTGAAAAAAACAATAAAACATGAACTCCAAAAGTTATTGTTCAAGCTGGACAATTTTGAAAAACATTGTATGAATTTTAGCTACAATACTTACGAGTGAGTGTTAATATTATTGCTTGTTTAAAAAAGTTTAATAATAAATTGTTTTTTATCAAACCTACAGATATGAACAGCTTGATTATGATGATAAGGTTATTATGGTAGACGTGGGTGAACATTTCCTTCAGTTTTCATTAGATTACACATTGGCCATACCTGACAGTTTTGATTTTCAGGAGGTGATTATAATGGCTATACTAACAAAACATCAATTTATAACGGTACTGATATGTGAACAAGTAAATTAAAAACAAATATTAATACCTAATATGTTTTCAGACCGAAAAATTATACATGAAATTTAAAATAGTAATGCAATACATGGCATTGCCTACAACAGACACAGACATCCCTTTTACAATTTTTAAAACTGAAGTTAAATCCCTGCAAAATAAAAACATCATTCAGTCAATCCAACAGTCATCCAAATTTGCTTTTAAACACCTAATGAATAAAACAAACCCAGCAATAATAAGTTTAAGTTTAAACTGCCCTTTATATAACAATATAATTAATATGGACATTATCAAACTAAATAATATAGAGAGAAAATTAGACATTAAAACTTAATTAGACTTAAATCTAATGAAAAAAAAATGGCCTTTGTCAATAATATAATAAATGAACTAATAATACAAAATGTCGATATAAAATTAACAAAACTTACTAAAATTTTCAAAAATAAAAAAAAATCATATGAAAAACACTTAAATAATCTTATAGCTAATATTAAATTAAAATCTTTTCCAAAAATTATAAAAAACAAAGAACCATTTAATTTCGATTTATCTAACTTCGGTACACCCCAATCGACAACGGACATTGACCGCAAAATATGTATTGAGGACACTCCAAGACGCCTGATGGCACGGGTATATGTCAATTGCGCCAGAAATCTCAGGTAAGGAAAAAAAAATTATGGGATTCAAAAAGGTTATACATCAACTGCGCCGGACGATATTTAGGTCCAAAAAAGAATATACATTAATTGCGCCGGCAATACTGAAGTTAAAAAATAAGCTGATTACACACTAGGCGATTTGAACGTACTCGTCTGCGTTTATATTACACACGGACGATTTAAAATCGAGACGTTTTAAACTGTACATACTATACGTTATCTATCTACATGCAATAAATTGGTCAAATCGGAATATACGCTAATAAAAATGAGATAAGGTAATAATATTATATTATGGAAGTAATAACTAACAAGTTATTTTTCTTTTTTCCAAATTATCAGTATCGTGTCGTCATTCGTATAAATTCGTTTACGTGAAATGGTCTATAGCAATAGCAATTTCGTATAATATTATAATGGAAGTAATTTTGAGTGAACGTAGGAAAGAACTAATTCTTTATAAAAATTATAAATTTTCATGTAAAAACCTTACTAAAAATGGACGTAAGTGGCGGTGTACAGAAAAAACTTGTAACGCTAAATTGTATGTTAACGAGGTTAAAACTACAATATTAAAAGAAGAAACTGAACACAATCATCTCCCTTATAAAAACGTTCAACGACAACTTATATCAAATCAATTAACAAACAAATATTTACTGAAAAATCAACAAATGATCTCAAAATTGAAGACATATCAAATATACGACAAAATTTATATAGAGCAAGAAGAAAATCTATACCAAAATTCGGTAAGTCGGTAAGTCACCATTACAAGAAATGAAATTTTAATACTTTTTGACAATTTATTCATATGTAATTTATCATCGTTTATTTATATGTATTTTAATTTTTATGATTTAATTTTATGAAATTTTTATATTTTTTAAATTACACTTTATTTTATATGTTTGATAATTATATTATAATCTAATAATAGTATAATAATATGATATTTTATAATATCTTCCTGGCACAATAGATATATATTATGTACACCAAATTAATTTGTGATAAATTTATTGGCGCAAAAGACGTATACCTTTTTCGTTTGGAATAAATCCACCGGCGCAAAAGATGTATAAATTTCAGGTAGTCTAGAAAAATCGGCGCAATTGACAAACACCGGATGGCACCATGCCACACATTTTACAAAAGATCCATGAGAACTGATGTAATGGGTATGCTGACAGATTTAATATGGAACCATGCCACACATTCTCAAAAAGATTCTGTTGCTGGTTGATTTAATATAATCTTTTTTTGTAACTAAAAAAAACAAAATAAAAATAAATTACAATCTCAAACCTCTACAAGTCCAATTCGCTTACCTAGGGACTTAAAATTATTTGGGGGTATAGAGTAAGTCATTTAGAGTCAAGGGATATCATTTTCAAAACGATACTACCAAATTTGGATTTTTAGTAATTATATTTCGTATGATATGTATCAATTAGACGTAAATTACACTACTCCGGTAGACACGTTCGGTTAAAAATTCATAAAAAATCAAAATATTGCACTACGACTTAGCCAATAATATCCCTGGCTTCGTTAGGATGTCTGCTTTTTGGGAAATGCATTTTGGATACTTACAATTTGCATAAAGGGGTAGTGGAGTCGAGTTGTCCAGAAAATAATTCAAATGGAACAGCAGTCACCGCCTCCGTAGACGTGTGAATCATTGTTGCAGATGGAAATTATTGAGTCTTCAGATATTGAGTTCAACAAATGTGTTGGCACCGTCGGGCTCCTACGGAACCGGCGGTCGACCTAACGATTCTGGGGACGAGAGTATAGGGAACAAGGTAACACCGTTAAATCCCGTTTATGTATATATAAGAAGAACACTGAATGCTGTGTAGTAATTAAACATGTGCCTGTAGCAGTATAATGTAATATCAATAAAAACAAATACCCTTTAAGAGTACGACAGTATAAAAGCTGGCGGGGACGTCTCCCCGTTTCAGCATACAATAATTATAAGTGATTAGCTCACACTAGAGCGCAATCATAATAACAATAACAAAATATAATGATATAATCGACAACGATACCAGTGACGACGACGATGGATGCGCGGAGTGGAGTGGCGGCAGCTGTTACGGCTGCGGCAGTGTGTTGCTGAATTATCAACGCGCGGCGACGACGGAGACGACCTTGGCCTACAGCCGATCTATTTGAGTCGCGGCGGCGGCGGCAGCAACGGCTGTGTACGGAGACGTGTTCGGCGGCAGCGGCGACGATAGTGGTCGCTAAGGCGTGCAAAAACGAACGGCACTTTCGGTCGGCACGGTACACGACGGCCCGAGTTGAGGCCCACAGACGGACACCCGTGTAGTCGTTGGTTGCACAAAGATTTCCAGCGGAGGCACCACAATTCACTTAATACTTAGGCAGTGCGGCGGAAACGCACAAAAGACGTGAGCTCAACCGCCCGCTCTACGAAGCACACTAAAAGTAATAGACCGGTTGCGTGAGCGCGCAACTTGCACTCAACGGCGGCGGCTCGTATCGGCGTTTATACGCCACCGGCGCGCGCACCCGGTACGGCTGGTCAAGCCGGGTATACACGCAATGACGCTGAGTTTCGAACATGCTCCCCCATGGGAGGTTCATCCTCACAATCTTGAAGTGAAACGGTGCTGAGATACGAAGTGTGATGACGTGGTATGGTACGTCGCCCTAAATTATACATATTAAAAAAAAGGTAAAAAAAACAAGAGGTACATGAAGGGAAGACCTAAAAATTCCTGGGGTACAAAAAAGGTACAGGTACTACACAAGGTGCACACATAAAATAACATACATGGCCCACATAGGGTGCGTAAAATACATAAGGTACATGGCATACATAGGGTGCGTAAAATACATAAGATACATGGAATAAACAAAGTACATGACGTCATGACGTACATAGGGTGCGTAAAATACATAAGATACATGGAATAAATAAAGTACATGACATACATAGGGTGGTTGGTTTTAACGGTGTTACGTTAAAGGGCTTAGCATAGTTGTTACAATATTGACAACCGAGGTGACCACAAAACATAATTTAAGTAACTAAGTTCGTAAAAGCTATGTCACCTCTTTGTGTTTTCGGTTGAACTTTCGTCACCCGAATCCAGACAAGCGCCACCCGTGGACCCTCCACGGTGAACAGGTATGCGTGGGAAAATAATAAATTACTGTAAAGGATCCGGTGTGACACACCGACCAACCAAGCGCGCAGGTCCTTGCGACCTACTGATCCATAGGTAACTTCACCAACTTAACTACCGGTCTGGTGAGCTCCCCCGTAGCGGTGTTCAATTTGACCACTCGGACCACACCATCGTTACCGGGGGTCACATCTACAATGCGGCCCAACCGCCAACTCATGGGTGGATTTTGATCTTTGACCACTACCATATCTCCACATTGCAAGTTGGGCACATCAACTGTCCACTTAGTTCGGACTTGAAGGGAGCTCAGATACTCGGTGGACCACCGACGCCAAAAAGACTGGTGGCACTGGTGCAGTAGTTTCCACCTGTTGACCACCTTACTACAACCCTCGGGTATTGATACGTCTGGAACTGCCAGCAACGGCTGACCAATTAAGAAATGCCCCGGTGTCAAGTAGTCTAAGTCCATCGGGGATGACGACATCGGGGTTAACGGCCGTGAATTTAACACTGCTTCAATGCGGCACAGTACGGTGGTCATCTCTTCCCAACTGAAATTATGGACACCCACGAGTCGTGTCAAGAGGGTTTTAAATGACCGTACCGCAGCCTCCCACAAGCCACCGAAATGCGGTGCGCTTGGTGGATTAAAATGCCAGACGCAAGGAGCATGGGAGGTTACTGCGTGTCGGATAGTCGGGTCGTTAACTAAAGCGCGGAGGTATTTGGCGGCCCCCACGAAGTTCGTGCCACAATCAGAGAATATGTCCTGAGGCAAACCTCGACGTGCCACGAATCGGTCGAAGGCCGCCAAGAATGCATTAGTAGACAGCTCGGACACGACTTCCAGGTGGACGGCCTTAGTCGCCATGCACACAAACACCGCCACGTAAATTTTGTATTGTCGAGCCTTACGTAAACGACACTCACGCATAGACATTGGCCCAGCGTAGTCGATGCCTACCCGAGTGAATGGGCGACACATTTGGACGCGAGAGCTTGGTAAGTCTGCCATCACGGGGTGGGGACTTTGGGCGAGGGTTCGTACACAGATCGTGCATTGACCGATGACGCGGCGGATTACCGCCCTCACCGATATTATCCAAAATTGTCGTGTGATCAATGACGTAATTACCCGAGGCCCTGAGTGACATGTTACCAGGTGCCAATGTCGCGCGATTAGTACCGATAAGTGGGACTCCTTAGCCAACAAGATAGGCTGTTTCTCGGCACTGGTCAGATTAGAACGTGTCAAGCGGCCTCCGACGCAGACAACGCAACGTGCATCAACGAAGGGCCTCAGACCAGCCAATGACCGTTGGGCAGGGCGGCCGCTTGCTAAGTCTGCGTGGAGCTTAGACAACCAACAGGTTTGAGACTGTTTGACCAAGACGATGAGCGATTCTCCAAGTTCCCTCTACCCCATGATGTAGTAATATACACGATTCATTGAACGCCACAGTATAAATTCACATTAAAAAATATACAAGATTATGGCAGCCCGCGTCCACATGGCGTGGATGTTATAAGGTAGTTTGGCAGCTGGTGTCGTGACCACAAAAACAGTAATAAGTTTCTAGTAAGTGTGACCGCCGGCGGGCATATGGAGGTCAACGTGTTAATATAATTTTTTTTTATTTATATTTTACTTTTCAACTTATTTTTAATATTGAAATTTATTTATAAATTATTTAAATGCTTTTACTATTACACCCATTATTATACCCATATCTATAATAAAAATTATTATTTATAAATAAGTTTTTTCACTTATTTAATTAGTATTTTAGATAATTTTTAAGGTCATCTTTTGAAGTTTTTAGGGCATTTTTTCACTTTTTTTAGGGGGGTTTTTGCAATTTTTTAGGCCATTTTTGTGTGTTATTAAGGTCATCAACATCCTAACTCTAGTAATGACCAATAATGATGATATCTAAGGCGCGTGTATCGTCTCTGTTTGTCTACCTGTAGTCACTATCGATCTCTCTCACACGAAGCTATGGCGTTATCGGATAATTGTCGATAAGACCGATGTCGCATCTAATTTAATGGAGTGATGGGAAATCCATTTTTTGCTGACAGGCTGTATGAACGGTGACGAACGTCGGACATATTTCATTTAACATTTAGACACCGTTCTAGTAAGTAAACGTATTTAATTGCTTATTATAGGTACCTTCTTATACTGGCCTTGTGTCCCGGTTTTTTTTTTCATGTTAGTTTAACTTGCTTGAGTAAAATGATTGAATATTGCTTAGCATCCAATTCGTAACTAAGAGAAATATTATCACATTGTAACTATACAAATTAATAACAATATCACATTTTGTAATCGAGGAATTCAGTACACTCTTCAACACTCATAATTTTTAATTAAGAAGATATTCAAGCAGATTTTAACTATTATGTAAGTACATGTTGAGATATTATAAAAATATCATAACGTATTTGTGTATATTATTAATATTTAATATTTAATATTACACTTTAGACAATCACAATGGATCATTCACAAAATTTAAATCGTGATCAACACTTTAACTCAACAGAACGCGATAATGCGGATATTTTACTGCTGGAAGCTTATTTAAAACAAACAGAGGGACAGAAAAATATATTGGAAGCAAAGGTGGCCAAGCATGACCGGGTGAAAGCAGAAATGTGTGATTTGCAAACTAAGTTGGATAATCTCCAACGAACGATAGAAGATAAAAAGATACTTCACCAACAGTCTTATGATGAAGTCAATCAAGAATTAGAAGCTACATCATCGAAGTACAGCCAAACATTGAGTACGGTAGAAGAGTTGGAACAAGATAACCACGAGTTGGAGTGCAGTATAAAATCTCAATCGTGTAAGGAATCGCAGATAGTTGAAAAAATCAACAAGCAGGAAATTTTGAAGAAAAAAACTATTGAATGCAATAATAATATTTGGGATAAAATCAATAAAGAAAAGGTAATTTTTATTACATTATTTGGGAATATATAGCGAAGGGTAGGCTGTATCTCGCATACATGCGTGTATAAGAGATATAATTTTATCTTGTATCTGGATACCACGGACTAAGATAATATGATAATTCAATTAACTGGTATACAGGAGGATTTCACATTTTAGTGACCACCTTGTGTGATTGGGAATATGAAGATAACAGCGCCTAATATAAATTTATCTGGTAAAATTATAATAAATATTATGTAACATTTTCAATTGTTAATTGATGTATTTTCACATAAACACACTATAAACTATTTTGTTTGAACTAATTTTTATAAAAGTTTATGAAAATATTAGTCGATTTGTCGCTGATACATAATCATATATTTCCTTCAAAATTAGGGGCATTGTCCATGTGGAATACTTAATTTTTACACCCCATAAAGTTTTGATACCAACTCATAATCCGGGCTGGATACTTTTATCTTGTAGCACCTAATATTATATTCTTATAAGCAATCCTCGTTAATACGCTAAAACTTGTTACCACAATTTTGTAATCTCCATAATGAACCACTGTATATCAACATATGTGCTTCTAAATACATCGTAGCACCATATAACATCGATGTATTTTCTTCTGCAATGTAGGAATGTGTGAAGTCACTGCAACGGCAACAAGATGACTTGGAATCTGCGATTTGTTGCAAAACCACCGAAGCACAAAAGTTACGAGGCGCGTTAACCGATAAGGAGGCGATGGTTCAGTGCAAGGAAAACCAGCTAACCGAACTGCAGCAGCAAATTGCTACCAGTGACAGGTGCCTGCAGGAACTAACCACCGAGTTTAGGGAACGGGAAGCGGAATTGGAGGCACATAGGAAAGCGGCACCTGAGAAGTTGGCTATGAGTAACCAGTGTTTGGACATGGTCCGCCGGGAACTGGCGGATGCGTGCGCCGCGGCAGCCGGCTGGAAGACCAAGAGCCAAAACGCGGCCAACGTGCACTGTGAACTGAAAGCAACCCAAAAATCGGAACAGTGTCGCGCGAAAGCTATCCTCGTGGAGCTGGGTGAAGAACGGTGCCGGCTGGCTGAACAGCTGACGGAAACGCTACTTCAGCTCAAGTGTGCGGTGGCTGAAAACTGCCAGCTTACGGCCGACGCCAAAGTTTTGGCCGAGCGATTGGCTTGCCTGTTGGCCGAGATAGAGCGACTGGAGAAGCACAAGTTCTCCGATCGCCTCTCGCCTATGGCACAGTGCACGGGTTTTGAAACCCAGGACGAAAAAACTGACAGGAAATGGAATACATTGGAGTCTGTCTAAAATGAGGTGGAACGACTGAAGTGGGCGTGTGAGGACCGCGAACGGGCAATCAAGGACGCCAAAGGAAAGCTCGGTGACTGCTGTACAACCAGCGCGAGAACCGACTGTCGTTACGAGTACTGATTTACAGATTATCCAAAATTGTCTGAATGTTTTGCACGTACCTTCATGGTTAGCGTCAGTTATTTAATGGTCAGTCATTAATAACCAACAAATAAATTGATTAAATTTCGAAATAATTCTGTTGCATAATTACATATTTTATATACTCGTTGTATCCATTTATACTAATCAAATAATAATATTATTTAATACATAAAAATATCATGTCATGGCTTTTGTGATCGACCGATTTTAATGAATTTTTTTTTTGGATAATTGTTAGGTAAGAGAATAAGTTGTCAATTATTTGAGTATCGTATTTTAGGTCCAATTTTTGTGTCTGTGTACACGATAAGTAGTCGAAATATAGCTTCGATTTTCAACTTCAGTATCTTGTTCGATGGGAAAGTGAATCTAGTTGGTGCATTCTGGAGGTCATTTTTTAAAATTTCCAATAATTCTCTAAAGCTCCAGGAAAAACAATCTAAACATTTTCATGTATTGCTGTATCCTGGTTTTTGAATTACAACAAAATAAGAAAGTCGCTATACATGAGAAATCTAGTGAATATCAAATGTTGTAAAAATATAAATTTCAAACATTTCAAAAATGTAATTTGACTTCCTTGTAGTAATTTTTTTTTTTTTTTTGATAGAGGTGGACAAACTTATGAAGAATCTTTTTTTACATTTTCAAGTCTAAGGTTTTTTTTAAGAACATTTTTATAAATTTCTAGCTCAAAATAATTTGCACATTTTCAAGATTTTTACGTATTTTGTCAATATTTGAATTTTAAATGCTTATAAAAAAAAATTGTGACTACGTGTTTCGTATACGGTACTTCACCGGTCGGTATCGCCAACCGCTGTTTAGTTGTACGATTGCAGTTTGTGACTAGTACTTGCATTGTAATTTGTAATTTTTTCTCAATTTGCAACGGTTATTCTCATAAGTATCACCAAATGATTCACGTCTGAGTCAACCGCCGACCGTTGTAGCTGTATCTAACCTGTGACTTCCGACTGTTCTGAGTTATGTTTGGGTACTGTAGTGCATAATAATTGAACAAGTACTGTCCCAACAAATTCCTAGGATACAGTTTCCTCAACATTTGTCAACATTTTCGAGTATGACATACTTAAAGTACAAAATATCGGTCAAGAATTACAGACAGTAATTTGGATTCAAGTTTACGAGCAGCTGTTTCTAATTATTTACCAGAATTTTAAAAACTTGCAGGAAACCAATGCCATTTATCACATTAATAAATTTATAAAATCACATTATTTAAATGACAATATCACATTTATAAATTTTTTTTTTACTATTTCTCGTGTATTGTCAATATATTACATTATTATTATTATATACTGCTATGTATGCCTTTACTAGTACAATCTTCCTCAGACCCGTTTTGACTTGGATAGGTCCTGCAAAGTCCACTCCGGTGATAGCAAACGGTTTGCTTGGCGTGACCCTTTGCTTTATGAATTGGCCTATTGGCTGTTGTAATGGAATTGGTGCCAAACATTTCTGACATAAGTGAACAATCTTTCTGGCGTTGTCTCTACCACGGAGAGGCCAAAATTCACTTCTCACGTTTGCTAGCAGTCCTTGAGGGCCTATGTGTCAGAGTCGTAAGTGAAGTGCTTGAAATATCATATTTGTGATGTTGTTTTTGGCTGGTAGCACTGCAGGATGTTTGCGTCTGAATGGTTCATCTAAATGCTGCAGTCGACCACCTACATATAGGACACCATCCTTCATAAGTTGAGAGGCATTTTAATGGACCCTTGGTTATCAGACCACCACTAGATAGAATTTTGATCTCGGCAGCAAACTCCTGGTTCTGCACAAACTGTATCCAGCGCCACTTCACTACTTGCAGTTCTGCTACTCTGATTGGCCCTAGAATTGGTTTTACATCCTGACTGTTTTGTCGCCACCGGAGCCATGAAATAAATCTAAACCATGTAGCAGATATGTGCAACAGTTTATTCCAATTAGAAATGAGATTAGATAGACTAAATTGGTTTATTGTAGTAGCAAGAGTGAATATTAGTGGTCTTCTTTCTAGTAGGTTGTCATCAGGTAGCTGAAATTCTTCTTTACTTCTATTATTGATTAAGCGTTTTTGCAAGAACTCTGGGCCTGACCACCAAAAGATTAAGTTCAATAACTCAGTGACTGATACTCCACGAGATAAAGGGTCAGCTGGGTTGAGGCTGGTACTTACATGAGACCAGTTCTGTCGCTTCACAGCTTCATTGATCTGCGTGACTCGGTTAGCTACATACGTTTTCCACTGTGAGGACTCTCCCTGAATCCAAGTTAGGGCGACTGTGGAGTCAGTCCAACAATATGTATTATGTAGCGACAATCCCATTGATTTTGCTACCCTTGATATGAGCTCAGCTAGCAGGTGGGCGCCGCACAGTTCCAATCGGGGTATTGTTTGTGTTTTCGTGGGTGCCACTCGTGACTTGGCGCATAGCAATTGTACATGCCACAATTCGTCACTGACCTGCTGCCAAAAATACACGCATCCGCCATACGCTATCTGTGATGCATCAAAAAACCCGTGCAATTGGATTTCTCCATGCGGGTTAAACATTACTGCTCGCGGAATGAATAGTTGGTCTAGTTTTTCCAAATCCTTGATGAAGGTCTCGCAACGTTTTTGTACAGCCAGAGGTAGCTGATCATCCCAATTGACCTTGATTTGCCAGAGCTCTTGTAGAAACACCTTTCCACGTATCAGGACTGGACCTAAAAAACCAAAAGGGTCAAATATACTGTTCAACGATGAATGTAGGCTACGTTTAGTCCTGGTATCAACTTGTTCTCTTTATGATATGCTATACGTCAGTTGATCAATTTCTGGGCACCAGACTAATCCTAGTGATCTGACTGTGTCCTGATTGCCTAGATCCAAGGAGTAATGTGGTTCGTCAGAGACTTCTGAGATGTACTGTCTGACAGCTGCATTGTTGGAACACCATTTCCGTAGAATCATGCCCCCAGTATTTAGTGCTTGGGATACATCACGGAATAGTGTTAGCGCTTCTTCGATTGAATCTGACCCACTGATGTAGTCGTCCATATAAAAGTCGCTTTTAATTGATTGAGCAGCTGTTCAACTTTTAGAGGCTACAGATGATGCTATTTCTTGCAACACACGGGTAGAGAGAAATGAGGCAGATGCTGTACCATAGGTAACAGTGTTCAATTGGTAGTGCTGTAACTCATGTTCTGGGGAGGCTCTCCACACGATTCTTTGATAGTTACAGTCTTGTGGTTGCACCCAGACTTGTCGAAACATTTCTGTCACATCTGCTGTGATAACAACTTTATGGCTTCGCAAGATGCATGAAGCAAAATGTCAAACAGTTCTGGTTGGGTGGTTGGGCTTGGAGCTAAAGTGTCATTGAGTGATTTTCCTGTGGTTGACTTAGCAGAACCGTCAAATACTACCCGCATCTTAGGAGTTGTACTTGATTCTTTAACCACAGCATGGGGTGGCAAGTAGTAGTAACCTTCAGTAGGAGTGCCTGGGTTGTCAACCTTGGACATGAAAGTGGTATTCACTCATAAAGTCTACATAGTTAGAACTCAAATATTGGATCTTTCATGAGTCGCTTCTCCACACTAAGGAAGCGTTGAATGGCCATGTTGTGAGAGTCTCATAATACTGCTGGGCTTTGAGTGAATGGTAAATTCAAAATGAACTCTCTATCTACTACACGCTTATGTGTATCTTTGAACATTCTTTCACATGCTTCATTTGTATTAGTTCTGGTGGGCGATTAATGTGATGACATCCACCCTGTAACACTAAGTAAACATGAGATATGACGTTTAGGTTTTTATTATTTTTTAATGGTTGGCCCTTTGTCCTTCCGGCTACAATCCAGCCTAGTAATGTTTTGCATAACCATGGTGAGCCTCCTTGTAATGCAATCTTTTCACTTAATAAAACTTCAAAGAATATTTCATTCCTAAGTTGTAGGTCAATATTGGACGTTGAATGAAATTGTTGATCAGCTAGTGACTGTTGAATTGGTGTTGGTATAGACCAGGAAGATGTATCTAAGTTGAGTACTGGCAATGGCATTGTGACGACTGGTAGAACCTGACATTTTATAATAGATGAGAACTGCGAATGACGAGACTTAATTAATACTTGACAGTATTTGGAAGGTTTTGTCGAAACTCCGTTTACACCACTAATTTGGAGTGTACAACGTTGCTATTTTTGTGATAATATGTTAATGTGAGATCCACAATCCAGAACTGCTCTACATTAGTGCAGATTACCTTTATTATCTTGTAAGTAGAGAATCGCATTAGATAGTAATACTTGAGATGATACAGAATATTCATAAAGTCTGGTTGTGGTCATTTGAAGTGCTACTGTTGACTGTATTTCATTATCACCTGGTGGTAATATGTCGTTATCAGTAGAGGCTGTTGGCTTGGAGGGTTGACACTGACTTTTCTTTGTATGGTAATCCATGTAGCATTGAGTTATGTTTGCGTTGACAGTGTCGACATATGGAGGCTTTGCACTCATATACTGTGTGTTCAGCTGAAAAACAATTGAAGCATAATTTATGTTTTTTTATTGTGTCATACCTGTCTTGAATCGATTGAATCGAGATTTAAAACAGTTGAAAAATCGTTGCCACTTGTTATAATCACCGTCGAACTGTTCCAATGATAGCCGTGGTAAATGTGAACGAATCGACATTGTACCACTCGAACCTTGACTGAGAGGTGTTTGTTCTCTATAAGTTGCGTTTGTGTCACAAGCATCACTAATTTCTGGTCGGTTTGTTGACTTTATTAATCTGTTGAGTCTACCTGCGGTGCTGTGATATTTTGTTTCAAAATCGTCACGGTCTAATGAGTGTTGCTCGTCATTTTCAATATCAATTTCTTCAATTTTAGTTTGTACGATTTCAAATTGTTGAAGTAGGGACGGTAATGCTGATAACCTGGAGGCTGCTTCGTTTACCGCATCTGGAGAGTGTGTAATTCGCTCGATGAAGCCTTTATCTGGCCGCGTCACCGCTTCAACGTTGCAATGGTTTGAAGGGGATCTTGATGGTATGAGTGATCTAGATTATCTTGCTCGTTGACTGACATTATTCTATGGTATTATCCGGTGTCGATGGACCAAATGTTAGCGCGCGATTCTTTCCTTACTTGGATCGATTATTCGCGCAATGAATAGGTAAATGGACTGTATAATAAATGTTGTTGTATAATTGTGTTATTCAATGTGTGTCCCTCGTGACAAACATACATAAAATATTGTAAATGTAAAAACGCAAAAAATTAATTAATTAATAATGATGCTAGCTGTTAACATGCATCCTGCACGATGCATGACGGTGCAGTAATACAGTATATAATAATAATAACAATTTTGGTTAGAAAATGTATAATAATTGACAATGAAAAATTCAATATAGGAATATAATAACAATGTAAGATAAAGATTATCAGTGTATCGATAGTGCCGGTGATATGATCCAACGTCCGAAGCCTAGCAGTGTGGCCAACACATTATAATGATACAATATGTCTGATGTTAATTTTTACATTGAGTAGAACTCTTTCGACAATTTTGTACATATGACACAGTAACGAAATAGGTCTAAAATGTTTTGGGTCTGTAAGGGTTTTTCCTGGTTTTGGGAGTGTGATTATTTTGGTTTTCTTCCAAATCTTAGGTATTTTTTGTGTTATTCGAATATTGTTGAAGAGGTTAAGTATCCATGTTTTTGTTATTTGTCCAAAATGACGAATTTCTTCTGTGAAAATATCATCCAGACCTACTGCTTTATGATCTTTCATATTTCCTATAGCGTTTTCCAGTTCTTTGTTGGTAATTGAAAAGCTAAGATCTTCTCTTTCATTTTTTCTATCCCTCTGAATTTTATATTCATCTCGTTTCACGTCTGTTTTACCTGTCTTCCCATTTTCTACTAGTTGACTAGCAATTTGATCAGCTATTATTTTTGATGGCGTTTTAGTCTAGATAGGGTCGTTATTAAGTCGTTTAATCATGTTCCATGCTTTCCTGCTACTGTGTTTCATATCTGCTTCTTTAATCATGTCTCTCAATTTATTTCTTTTGACATCTGAGATAGCCCTAGATAAAATTTCTCCTTCTCTAATAGTTGTACTGTCAAAAGGGTTATTCTCGTAGAGTTTTTCATATTTTCTTCCAATATGAAAAATTACAATAATACATGTATAATATACGCACCCGCAAACAATTTTTACTATTGTAAATTGTAATTTGTAATTTATATTATTCAGAATGTTTGGATACTATGATCACAGAATTCATAGTTTGTGGTAATGACCCATTCAGTATAGTTGAACAAGAGAAATTTAAAATAATAATTGATAAAGGATTTCCTAATCGACGTTCATTAACACGAAAAACACTCATGTCTCGAGTATCAACAAACGCAGAAAATATACGATAAAACGTAAAAGAGGAGTTAATATCTACAAAAGTAAAACATGTCTGTGCAACTGCAGATTGTTGGTCTGTGTTTAAAAAGTTATTATTTATTATCGATTTATCCTAATTTAATATTTGAATGATATGTTCAACGGGCACATTTTTAAATCAAAAAAAATACTTAAGTTTTATTTAATATTACAATTAAAATAATTGTAAATAATTAACAATTAAGTTTTATTTAATACCTACATGGCTATATAAATTAATATTTAAATAATTAAGTTTACATAAGTCATAAATTCTATATTATGAATATGAATATATATTTTATTTTATGTATTGAATAAAATGTTTAGATACCTAGTCCATATAAGTAGGTGACATAGTCTATAAGCTATAGTTAAAACTGTAAAATAATAAAAAAAATGTTTTTTCAGAAGTTATATTGGGATAACCGCTCATTGTTTTGATTTTGAAACTCTTGATCGGAAATCTGCTGCTTTAGCTTGTCGCAGAATTAAAGGGAGACATACATATGATACATTAGCAAAAATATTGAACGATGTATTTTGTGAATATGGCATATTAAATAAGATAATCAATGTAGTAATGGACAATGGCTCTAACTTTGTCAAGTCTTTTCGGTAAGATTAATATTCAGTTATAATAGTAGGAAATCTAGGTATCTGCCTAATATAAATGTAATCGCCACTAATTGGTGTATTGTTTTAAAATATACAATTTAATTTTTAGTTTTATTTGTATTAATAAAAATATTAAATTAGCATGTAGGTTTTATTTTATCATAAATCATAATATCATTAGTTATTTTAATTATTTAATTTAATATATTAGTTATTATTATTATATAATTATTTTTCAGTATTTTTGGAGAGCAAAAAGATGTAACTATAAGTCAGTGCGAACTTGATGATGGTGGAATTGAAGAATATATTGAAGTTATTGAAATAGGTAATATTCTTGAAGAAGAAAACATTGATTCAGCTGATCGATTACCATCTCATCATCGCTGTGCTAGCCATACTCTAAATTTAATTGCCACTAAAGACAGTGAAAAAGCTTTATCTGATTCCATTTACAAAAAGCAAATTAGGATCATATTTGCTAGAATGCAATTTTTATGGAACAAACAGGAACGCACTAGTCTAATTGCTGATGATATCCACGATTCGTTAAATATTTACATTGTTGTACCAAATGCTACACGTTGGAATTCCACTTATAAGGCTGTCAAGTGTTTATATGAAAATTTGACAAAATCTGAACTGGAATTACAATCTATTTGTGATAAAGCAAACATTCCTCGATTTGACAAAAAAGATGAGTCATTTATGTCAGATTATTGCAAGGTAGGGGAGAGGTGGCCACAGTGAGACACGGGACACAGTGATACATTAAGTGTAAGTCGAGTAGTTTAATAGTTAACCACCAGATGGAGAAACTAGAAGATTCATAAAATCATAATAAACATAGGTAATGGTTAACCGTAAGGTCACGTCAAAAGCGATACTATCACTTTATCATAATATTTTTATTTTTTGTTATCAAAACGTAAAAAAATGTGATGTTCGTTTTTAAAAATTTTTTCATCGAATTTTCTTAAAAGGTACGTATTTTAAGTTCTATATAAATTATATTTTTCTTGTGCATGATTTAGTTCTATACACAAATGTTTATCATAAATATTCATTCGAGAATTATGAAAAATCTGCAAAATAATAGATGGGTATACAGTGAGACAGTACAGAGTGAGACAAATAAATATTGTTGTCTCACTGTACCCTTCATCAATAATTTAATTTACATTGAAAACAATTGTATTTAAACTAATTTAATAGTATTAGAAAGTATTCCTATGCTACAATTATTAATTTTATTTTATAATTGTTAAGAAGAAACATGGGTCGTAACAGGGTAAGAAAAACAACAATTGGCACCTTCACACATGAAGAAATGTCGAATGCCGTAGATATGGTGTTAAATGGTGTTTGTTCCATTAGGGAAGCCGCTCGTCGAAACAATTTAAAAATCCCAACTGTTGCCAGGTAAATATTGATCCATGTATTAGTTTAAAATATTTTTTTTTCAAAACGTAGTTTTTTAATACCTACCAATAATTATTATTCTACAGATATGTCAAGAAAAAATCAAAAAATTCTTTAGCAAGAATGTGTCCCAAGTATAATTCTCGACAAGTATTCACGTCATCCATCGAGAAAGAATTGGTAAATTATCTTTTACAATGTTCAAAAATGTGTTATGGCATAGGTTATTCTGACTGTCGTAAATTAGCATTTCAGTTGGCTTTAAAAAATAATATTGTTGTACCTCACAGCTGGATTATTAATGAAATGGCTGGAATTGACTGGATGAAGGATTTTATACGTAGAAATCCCACTATAAGTCTTAGGAAACCAGAAGCATGTAGTCTGTCACGGGCTACTTCATTTAACAGACACAATGTTTCATTATTTTTTGATAAGCTTGAAAATGTTTTGAAAAGACATGATTGTTTTGGGGATGGCTCTAGAATTTATAACCTTGACGAAACAGGCGTTACAACTGTGCAGACACCCAAGAAAGTTATAGCCCAAAAAGGTGTAAAACGTTTAAACCAAATTACAAGTGCTGAAAGAGGTGTCTTAGTAACTGTATGTTGCATTATTAACGCGTATGGCCATGCATTACCACCAGTAATTTTATTTCCAAGGGTTCATTTTAAAAATCATATGATAAATGGTGCTCCTCCCGGGACACTTGGCTTAGCTTGCCAGTCAGGCTGGATGAACACTGATTTGTTTATTGAAACATTGTTACATTTTATTAAGTTCACTAATTCATCAAAAGAAAACCCTGCTCTTCTTATCATGGATAACCATGAAAGTCACATTTCATTAAGCTCCATTGATTTAGCAAAAAGTAATGGCGTAACGATTTTGACATTGCCTCCTCATTGCAGCAATCGACTACAACCACTTGATGTTTCAGTTTATGGCCCATTTAAGAAATATTATAACTCTGCCGTTGATGCATGGTTACAGAACCATCCAGGGAGGACATTAGATATTTATAATATTGCACCATGTATAAATTCAGCATTCGATAAATCAATGACTATGAAAAATATTCAGGCTGGTTTTAAAGCAACTGGCATATACCCATTTGACAAAAATATATTCACAGACGATGATTATTTAGTAAGTGCTGTAACTGATCGACCATATCAAAATGTTGATACTTCTATCGTTAATAACAATTTATTACCTCAATCAAGCAGTAGTACTACAGAAATAAAAACAAATCAAAATATAAATTTAACTGAAAAAAGTGAAGCATCTTTTGATAAACCTGGAAGACAACCTTTAATTTTAAACACAACTGAGTCCACAAATGTCAGTCCTGATACCATTAGACCATACCCTAAAGCAGATGATCGAAAAAATAAAATGCATAACAAAAGAAAAAAAGTAAGTGCGGTTGTTACAGACACTCCAGAAAAACTTAAAATAGAAGAAGCTACAAAAACAAAAAATGAAAAAATAAAAAAAAGCCTTTTTCCTAATAAAACCAAAATAAAGAACATTAAAAAAATAAGCAAACCAACCAAACCATTAGATGAAAATAACATTTTATCAGATAGCTCAGCTGACATGTGTGGTCCTGTTTTTACATCAGATGTGTCGGTGCAGAGTCATTTAGTTTTGATGAAATTACTGGTTTTGAAGAACTAGATAAAGACCCAGAAGAGGGTGACTATGTTTTAGTTAGATTTGCCTGTTCTAATTCTAAACAAGCAAAAAAAACTATTTTCTATGTTGGAAAAATTATTAAAAATGTAGACAACGAAGGATTTTTAGGAATATCTTACTTAAGAAGTTACAAAAAATCTAAAAACAAGTTTGTTCTGCCACAAGTGCCAGATTTATCATCTGTTTGCCTTAAAGATATAACTGCAATATTACCTAAGCCTAAAATTAATGGTAAAACAGCAAGGCAACAATCATTTTATGCATTTGAAGTAAATTTAAGTAATTTTGAAATTCGTTAGGTTAGGTTAATAAATGTAAGACTGATATTAATTACCTGTGTTAAATTTAATGATATTAGTTTTTAAGATACCTATATAATAATATAATATTTTATCTTATAATGTAATTACAAGACTGTCAAGTAGGAAAGTTACCTAGTCAGATGTAAAATAATTTTGTTTTTCTATGTTTAAACTATGTTATTTCTTTTCTAATTATATTTTAACTATTAAGACTGATGAAGTTAATTGTGATCATGAGTACCTAAACTGAAGATTTTTAAAGTGAAATAAATGTGTTGATTATTTTAAAATTTGTTATAAAAATATCTTTAATTGTTTAATCATATTATTTAAGTGTTGTGAAATCAAAAGTTTAAATATTAAAAATAATCTCCAAATTTGAAATATTTCATATTATGTACCATAGTGCCCCGTGACGTGTCTCATTGTGTACAAGGCTAGGTCACAATGAGACACTTTGACTTTTTTTAAAAAAAGGTCTCCGGGTTGAAATGTAGGTACATTTTAGAATGTATAAATATGTTTTTTAATACTCAACAATATTTAAAATAATACCATAACCTTGTCAAATGATTATTACTTAAAACAAAAAAAATATTTAAAAAATAATTTTGAGTGTCTCACTGTGGCCACCTCTCCCCTAGATAACTAGACTAATAGATTAATAATTTTGATTGATTATTAATTATTATAAATAATATATTTTATCCTTAAATAAATACAATTAATAAAAAAACTGAATTTGTAGGTTATGGAACCACTAGCCCAAGCTCTTGATTTGCTACAAGGGGATAAATTTATGTGTATGTGAGTGATACCTTTTACCTACAATTAGTTGGCTTAAAAATAAATTATCAAAACTATCTATATCAGGTGGTAGTTGTAAAGCGTTAGCTATAGCCTGCTTAGATGGTGTGAACGCACGATTTGGTTCCATGATTTCAAAGAAATCAATTATACTTGCAGCTGTTACTCGTCCCAAATTTAAACTCAAGTAAGTATTAAAATAACAGTTTATTAAAAATTGTTTTTAAATTTGTATTTATAACTTTTATAGTTTTAGGCTAATGTAAGTATTACTAATGAGTTTAATATTTTAGTATTTTAGTCTGGGACTCTTAGACTATTTTTTTATTTTATTTTTTAATATTTAATAATTATCAATATATTTTTCACTTATCAACATAATATTGTGATATTCATAATTTGAATATGGATTTTGAAGGAATTCGCTTTTTTTTTTAAATTTTAAACTATTAGGTACTTTATTATTCTATGGCAGCTATATATTAAATTTATATACTACATGGAATCAAATCCAGAAAATTTAAATATGCTTTTTAGGGTTCTTTTGGTACTTTTTTTTGCTTTTAAGTAACATTTTAAAATATTTTATCAAAATGTGTTCTAAATAAACGTATTTAAAACATTAATATTTATTTTAACTTTGCATAATGTGTTCCAAGGATATGGCTCAATTGATTATATCTCGTTACATTTAATTTAATTTTACAAATTAATTTTAAAAAATAAGTCTTAAGAATAGAAATCTATTTGATTACAATTAATAATTTAATAAACTAATAAATATTTATAACACTCATTTTTGTAACTAATTTTTGATGGCTTTATTTGAATGTTTGTAGAGCTTTATAGGTTTATTATAAGTGCTTTTTTTAGTTTTTTATTGCTTCAATTCCTACACTCTATTCATAATATAGATTTGTTTACTGGAGGGTTAACTTTTTACATTTTTTAATTTTATAAGTAACTTTAATATAGTTCAGTTTTTACTTATATATCCATATTTACTTAAATATGTATAATTTTTTATTGTTATTGTTATCATTTTATCACTAGGTATATGGACACTTTAAAAAGAGAGGAAGCTAAAGATCTTTTATTGAATGAGATTGCACTTAATTGGCAATTCCAGACCGAGACCAACATACAGCCCATTGAGTTGAATCAACGTGTAGAAGATGATTTTCTCTTTAGTGAAGAGTTAGTTTCTGATCATCCCAATGTAGAAGTGGAGGCAGTGGAGCGCTATTATAATACAGTTTATACAGGCGATTTAAAAATTTTAAATAGTTTACCTATGATGAAACAAATTATTGTGAAGTTTAATACGTAACTCCCTTCTTCAGCTTCTGTTGAAAGGCTATTTAGTGTAGCTGGAGTTATTTGTACAAAAAAACGAGCTAGAATAACTGATCGAAATTTTGAAAATACATTATTGTATAAAATAAATATAAAAAAAGATTGATTTAAAAAAGACTTTTTTTTTATGAAACTTATATAACACAAGAGTAACGTCATTGTAACTAGTTACTTTTGAGTAAAAAATGTAACGTGACGCATTACTTTTGTACTCGAGTAACTATCAAGTAATCTAGTTAAATATTTTATTTTGTAACTTGTAACGTAACTTAGTTACTTTTAAAAAGTAACTTACCCAACACTGACAAATCATAATTTGAAACAAATTTTGAAAACTAAAATTATAAATTTCTTTTTATTTACATGGTGCAAAAATATTAATAGAATTCTTAATGGAGTAGACACGCGGGTTGAAAGTAATCTTATTAAAAAAATGGCTAGAGACTATTTTATTTTGCACAAAACACGAGGGCAAGGGTACAATATACAAATATATACTCAATATTAGTATACATACAACTGTATTTATTTTGTATAATGTTTAGTAATTTTATGTTTGTATACTTATCTATGTATTATTCACATTGTTATGTCATAATTATTATTTTATTTTTTATAATTATTATTCTATATAGTTCATATTTTTTTGTGTTAAATTCTTATTATGTATTATCTCCATAACTTGTAATATTAAATAATATCTCAGTTATTTATTATTCTATATAGTTTATAGGTACTTTATTGTGTTAAATTGTAACTATGTATAATATTCATAACTTGTAATATTAAATATTGTTATTACATATATTAAATAGTATTAATTATGTATAAATCATAACATTTTCTTCAATTCAGTTTTAGTTGATGCTATCAATTAAAAACTTAAATCCTAACTATTAGTATGTAACGTGTAACCTATGTGCATAGGTACATCATATTAACATCTCATATAATATAATTATGTAATTTATAATATAAAACATATATTCTATGATAATTGAATTCATGAAACTAATTGGTATACACGTATGTATTATATAAATAAAATAATGATAGCATTTTGTCAAAAATAATACTAACAATAAAGTTTAAAAGTTAAAATAGTTAAATCTTAAACTATAATTGATAAGGTAGAATACAACAACAACAGCTGGCACGAATTAAGATATACAGGATACGGAACGGAAAGGTCTTATCAATATTTTTCCGAGGCCGCCCGCTTCTCACTGTTTGGCATGACAACTAGCGCTTAAAGACAATATTGGTATAAAAATCAACTAAAACCATGTAAATTAATTTAGTTCAAAATGTAAAACACCAATAGCAATAGCCACCAAGGTAATACAAATTACAATTATAATTAATAATACTAATACAGTATTGTCTTGAATATAATTTTATGATACTTATACCTGAAAGTGTGATACAAAAATTGAAATTTGAAGCTTTGAAGCATACAACAAGAAAACAAAGCATAATATTTTAAAAATGTTACTGTTATTATTTTAAACAAATTTTATTTACATAAAATTATAATATTTTAATAAGATATAACTTAAAAAATTAGGTAGCAGATAATTTTGATAATTTCTTTTTTACCTTATTTTCACTTTTTTTTTCTTTATTATTCATAAATGTAAACTGTCTCGTTCTCATTGTCAAATATGACGTGAAAATATATTCAACAATTTCAGTTTTGTGTTCATTGCATGGAAAAGGTATTATATAATTATTATTAAAAAAATGCTCTACTGTGTCATCAAAAACGTTAGGACTCTTAGCATGGATTTCAAATGAAGTCTCGATCAGTCTAATCTCGATCGTGCAGAGATGTCGTAGTCGATTGTTTTTGAAAAGTCAGAAAATGGGTGGGCGAGGTTGTATTGTGGAAATCGATGAATCTCTTTTTCAAAGAAAAAGAAAATATAATCGTGGACGTTTGTTATGTTCTGATCAAAGAACGGGGAATGAAGAAAATGAGGAACCCCTAAACAATGACGAAACTGAACAATCAGCAGAAGAAACTAATCAACGAAATTATGGTTCACCGGTACAAGGACCGTGGATATTTGGTCTATGTTGTCACAACCACAATGACCTCCTGGAACATTTTTCATAGTTCAAAAGGGTGATAGAGCAACACTTTTGTCAATTATTCAAAGAGAAGTTGAACAGGGAACGATAATTCACAGTGACCAGTGGAAGGCATACGCTACATTAAATGAACACGGGTTTACTCACAAAACAGTAAATCATAGCCTAAATTGCATTGATCCAAGGGACGACTACGAATTGGTTCCCAATTGTCGAATTGGTTCCCGGGTTGTCTACAGGTAACATACGAGTTGGTTCCCGCAAGCTTTCATAAATAATACAACCTTGTTAAATGAACTTACCAAATTATTATGATATATTCAACCAGCAACAATTTCCTTACCATTTATTCAGACTGAGAACTGTCTAGAATTCAAAGAAGTTTGAATAGTTCAGACACTATCAAGCCTAGGTACCTAGGTATGGTTAAAAATGTTGCTCAGTAGTTAATATATACATAATATACGCTACATACGTATTTGTCAATAATAATAATTATGCTTTTAATAAATAAGTAATAATAATGTAATATTTATAATAATAATAATAATAAGTCATAATAGGTAAATAATAATAGAAAAAAATTAGTGTGGTATGAATTTACAACACACATTTTTAACGAACTGTAGGTTCGAAATTTGGCCCTCTTTCAATTTTTGAATATTTTCATCAATAAACTTTTCCTTTTCACCCTTTTTTTTTCACTTTAATTTAAGTGAGCTTCTTTGCTCTATGTATGTTTCGCATTGCACCGCTTTTAATTGTTTGATCAATAAAAAAATATTTGGGTGGGCGGAATAAAATCTAGAATTCAGTTTTCCATGAAAACAGTTTGTTGATCGTTCTGAAGTGGCTGAAAAATCTGCCCAAATTTTTGGTAAAAAATCACTTTTATTTTCGATATAATTTTCACGCCTGCCCTAAGTGGAATCTACATCCTCTTCATTTAGACTCTGGCCAAACTTCAGAAACTGCCAAGTGAATAGCCTTTTCAAAATCATCAAAAATAATTTCAGACCTCATATGATATTCTATAAATCGAAATGCTTGTATATAAGTAGTACTGTTCTTATAGGGCAGTAGGAAAAAATAAATAAACTTTCCTAGATATTGTAAAACCTAATAAAATATTATAAGATTATCGATTGTACATATTATACGTATCTTGTAACAGTGAGTTTGTATACTGATAAACTGATAAGTAATTTTATTCGGGAACCAATTCGAACAGTTGTATACTGGAAAGTATTTTTTTGTCGCCAATTTTTTTGAACCAATTCTTACACTTTAATTGACCCGGGAACCAATTCGACGTTTGCCGATCCAAGTACAGGAGCACATACTCAATCAATCGAGTTTCTTTGGCGTATTGTGAAGAAAAGATACGGTATAAAAGTAAACGGAGCTTCATCATTACTCGAAAGGCAGTTAAAAGAATAGTGGTGACGATCACTTCATCCAGTCATGGATACAATGTTTGACGATTTTCTTTCAGATATGATTTTAGTTTAAGGTATTTTTTAAAAACCTATCATAATAATATATATAATTATGATATTATTATTATTATTATTAAATTAAATTTTTTTATAAATAGTTATGTAATTGGTTATGACATTATTATATTTTAAATAAGATATAAAAAAAATACGGAAATTAAATACTATTTTTAGTGGATTTGGGTAGATCGCGCACTACTTAAAAACAAGTTTGGTAGATCGCGTACGACATCACTACCCCAAGAACAAGTAATGTCCTTAAAAAATAAGTACATTTGATCACCATACCTAGTTATACTGCATATTTATACAAGTAACATACTAACAAAATAAACCAAATAATTTGTTGATACACCTTAAATTTTAGATTTTTTGAGAAATTATTAATAATATATTTTTCAAAGCTCAAAATAGATAAAAAATTAAACCTCTCTTGTCCCATACTACTTCTTAACCATTTTTTTATTTGCTTCATTGATGAAAAAACGCGTTTAAGTGTGGCTGAACTTTTGGTATTGTTACAGCCACGGATAGAAATATTAATAATCTAAATATTATTGAAATTATGTGGGTACAATAATTAAATCCTGATAATTTTTATTTCAAACTAAAATTTGAATAAAAAACTGGAGGAGATAATACATCCCCCGCCCACGAGCTATTATACAAACCTTCAAAATACATTTTTGGTTACACAATTACCTATCATACGAACAACTTAAAAATTACATAACACCTCTACTAACATTTAAGTAATTAAAAATAAAATTTCTAAGATTAAGTACCTATAGTATATTTTTAATTTGTATGTAAGTTATTTATTTATTTAAGCATATTAGGCATATTTTATTATAATAAATATTAATGAATTTTATATTTATTATTTAACACGTTCACGACCGCGTGTCAACTGTAGTTGACACTGGGGGATATCCAGAGTGCGTCCCGTTTTTAATTTTTACCTTTTTCATAGCCCGAGTGCGTCCGCAGTCTTATCGACAAATTCTCTCAATCAATTATCCAATCGAAAATAAACTATGGTTCAAATATATACAAATCGGCATCACAATCTATTCTTAAAAAAATAGACAGCACAAACAACACCGGACTCAGACTAGCAATATTCGCATTCCGCAGCAGCCCAATTTATAGCATCTTAATACAGCCGGCGAACCCATACCCGAGATTAAAAGAAAAGACCTATCACTTAAATACATAACTAGATACTATAGATCAAACAATATTAACCCCCCACTTGAAGACAGCGAATCATATGATGAATTAGAAAAATACGGCATTGATTGCAAGCAACTAATTTTAAGAGAACAACTGACCTCACCTCCGTGGACTTCTCCATACGAGATAAATACTGACCTCAGTGCATACTTAAAACACAAACGTCCCCAGAAATGTTCAAAAGATACTTCCTAAGTATAATAGAAAATTATAAAGAATATTAAGAAGTATACACCGACGCGTCCAAAACACAGGACCAAGTAGGAATCTCAATAATACTCAAAAGCAAAAACATATTAATGAAGTTACCTAACACATGCTCTATATACACGGCCGAGGCCACAGCGATACTTGAGGCGATCAAATCAGTTATAGACGATGAATATCCCAAGCATATAATACTCAGTGATTCCTTGAGTACACTCAACAGTATAAAAAACCAGTTCAAACCCGGAGACATCGCTATAAAACTACTGAACAATCTAAATGAAGCCCTATCCAAAAATAAACAAATAATCCTCATGTGGGTCCCCGGGCACTCCGGCATCGAAGGAAACGAATTAGCCGATAAACAGGCCAAGATCGCTGCCACAAACCCCAAAATAGCAAATATAGCAGGTCCTACTTACAACGACCTCAAAAGGCACATAAATCACATAACCAATACCAAATGGCTCAATACTTGGAAACAACAAAACACCAAACTCAACACTATAAAAAGATGCACCAACAGGTGGATTAACAATTCTTTAAAAAGGAAAGAAGAATCGGTTCTAAACCGATTGAGAATTGGACACACACGACTTACGCACGGGTACCTAATGGCAAAGGAAGAACCCCCTCGTGTGAAGTCCGTGGTGTCCAATTAACAGTGAAACACATCATAACCGAATGCCTAAAATTCCAACGCGATCGTCAAATCATCGGATTAGATTCATCACTGGACACCGCACTGGGACCCAACACCGAAGAAAACTTTAAGATAATAAAATTCCTGAAATTGACAGGCCTTTACAATTTAATATAATAATATTTAATCCGACTGTACACTATGTAACCACACCTATTCTGTAATTTCAATGTTAATACCTAACTTATATATAAGAATACCTTAAAACTGTAAATAACTATTGTATATTTCATATTTGTAGCTAATGACCATAGTTGTTGGGCATTTTATTAAATCAATAAAAAAAAAAAATTATATTACAGTGCCCGGTAAATGTAAGTTGCGTCCCAAAAAAAAGGTTCCGATAACAATATACGTAAGTTGCGGCCTGGTATTTCTCAGGTACATACGTAAGTTTCGGCCTGTGTTTCTGTCATGTATACGTTAATTACATCCGACGGAAAATCCGTAAAACTAACATGTGTTAGTCATGTTTTTATCGATGGTATTTATGATGGTACTATCAAGAGTATATCCTGTTCTCTATCTACAAAATTTTACTGTAGTAACATTTCATACGATGAACACATATTAGTTCACCGATAACCGTTCTATACGAGTGCACGTGGAGATTTTTGAAAATGAATGTGATCAATTTTAATACAATGCTAAGTGAAAAAAATAAACCATTAAAAGTGATTGCTGTTCAAAAGTTTCGTTTTCACAAGTTTTTAATAAATGATGTTGAACATTGGTGTTGCACCGTCAAAACGTGTAAGTGCTTTGCAAAAGTAAATAGTCTTATTGATATTGAAATTGAGATTTTTAATGAACATAAACATAAGCCATTACCAGAAAATATTTTAACTAGACAAAAAATCAGTAACAATTTAAAAAGGAAAGCAGTTGATTAAATGTTTATTATACCATCAAAAATTTTACATTCTGAACTGAAAAATGATGATATTGAAAATATAACTTCTGGAGATGTTTTATTAATAAAAATAAATATACATAATGCTCGATATACAAAGCTACCCAAATTACCAACTACATTAACACAAATTCATGAGACTTTCAAAAATATGGAATTTAAGACAATTAAAGGTGAAGAATTTTTGTTAGTGAATAATAATGAAACAAATATATTAGGTTTCTCGACAGTTCGTAATTTACAAGCTTTGTGCAGGTAACACGATATTTGTAGACGGTACTTTCAAAAGTTGGACCGAAATTATTTTATCAACTCTTCACGATTCATGGTGTGTTAAATAATAATTATATCCCACTTGTTTATTTTTTACTGCCATCAAAGTCAAACAATTGTTATACCGATGCATTTCATCAAAAAATGACATGCAATTCAACCCAGTTCGAATGTATGTCGATTTTTAAAAAGGCTTTACATACTGCTGCAAATGTTGTGACACGGCTTCGGTGATGGCGTAGCAAGGTCGCAACCAGCCGGTCGTTGTGTTGGTGGTGAGAGCCGAGAAGGTGACTCTTAGAAAAGAACTTTAACACTGGTTTTGTTTCGGCTTGATTGAAATAAAACTTTATTTTGTGAAACACGGTCGAACAATACACACGATGACACCGTGTGTCCGGATGCTAATACGATTACAATCGTGGTTTTCGGTGTGTCCTAAAGGACGGCCGTTACAAAAGTACAAACGTTGACGTTGTATATAACGTGGTTTTACCGTGCGATAGTCGGGTGCGGTGGTGTGTACATGTCAACGATTCAACGGTCGTAGGGCGAGAGAGCGAATTGCCGGCGGCCGGTACTCGTAATGCGCGACTTGCCTTCCCGTCCCGCCTTGTGCCTTTGTGGCGTGGTGGGAGAGTTGGCGATGTCGCGCTGTAGCCCGTGGTGGCGGTTGACAAAAGCGTAGACCGGCCGCTGCGGTACCTGTACTTTGTACTGGTTGCCGCTGCGTACCGTGTCATACTCCCCTGCCAAACCGCCACACGGGGTACACTTGTACTAGTGCCGGTGTGTCGTTACGAGGGTGGCTTGTACTACCTCTGGCTTTCGCTTGAGGTAGACTCGCCCGCGCCCGTAGGTGGTGTTTATTCGGGTCGTGGGGACCCTACCGGAGTGTAGTACGTGGGGTCGTACTCCATCTCCGGCAACCCCTCAAACGCCACCAACCAATCCGCCTCGGTTATTCCGTCCGGGGTCCCTGATTGGTTAGGTGGTGTTTGGTCGGTAGACGTTCCCGGCTCCTCGGACTTTCGGTCCTCGGGCGCCGGTTTGTCTACCTCCATCGCTACCGGCGGTATGTGGTCGGTCGGTGGCACGCAGGCTGCTTCCGGGTTTGAGGTTGGCGCAGGTTGCTTGGCAAGCCGATGTCGTTAGCTTGCCTCGCTTTCCCTGGCCTTCCTCTTCTCCTTCAGCTGCTGGAACTTTCTGCGGTTCCGCGCCTGCTGTGCTTCCGTCCTCACCCTTACCGGCGGGGCGGGGTGTACCCCCGTTGACCTGGGTACCGGTGTCGGCTCCGCAGGTGTCACGGGGGTTGGTGTTGCGGGGCCAGGTGTCGGGAGGACCGGAGTGGTTGCTGGTGTTGGTGGCCGCGTCAGTGACGAGGTGCGGCTGCTGGTCGTCGAGGACGTTCCGCGTGGACGGAGCCTCCGCTCGATATCCGCTGTGCGGTCCGCCCAGCCCCGCTGGTAGATGGCCGCCCGCACTGGATCCTGGAGGAGATGGCGGGTCGACATCCTTGCGACCTGGGCGGCGGTACGCGGCTCGTCCTGACTCCCGGACACCAGCCCCAGCTGCTGGATCAGTGTGGCCACCTGCTGCCACTTCTCCTGCTGCTGTTGTTGTTCGGCCATATTATCTGTAAATTTTGGTTAGTACAGACAAATGTTTATTAACTTTGACCTGTGGGCGCGCGTTTTAGACACGACACATGTAATTTCCGCGGCGGTTGTTGGTCGGTTAGGAAGACTCCCTTTCCGACCTGCTTCGCTAGCCTTACCGGTCCCCACCACTTTGGTGCGAACCCGGCATGAAAATCTTTATGTGCCTTAGATAGGTGGTGTGCTTTGTAGTAGACTACGTCGCCCTTGCCGAACTTCGCCGGTGTGCCGGTGTTCGTGCTAGGCTTTACCACTACCTTTTTGCCTATAATACGTTTTTCCCGCTCTACCCTCTCTTCCTGTGATTTTTCGATATTTACCGGTGCAATTTTAGATAGCGCCCAATCTCCGGGTCTCTTGCATTCCCTGCCTAGGACAAGGACCGCGGGTGGGTAGCATGTCTGTTCGTTGCACCTGTTCCGTATCGAAAAAAGAATTGAGGGTAGTTTTGTGTCCCAAGATTTATGTTTGCCGTCGACTAGTTGTGCGCGCAAACCTTTTTTTAAATCTTGATTACGGCGTTCGACTGGGTTGGCCCTCGGGTGGTAGACTGGAGTCGTCCAACCCTGTGCCCCCCAGCGTTCTAGTGCGTTTATCATTTCGTTTGACACAAACTGTGGGCCGTTATCACTGAGACACACGCGGGGGTAACCGAAACGCGAAAAGAACTCTCGCTCTAACGTTTCGATTATTGTTTTTGAGGTTGCTGTTCCTAAGGGGTAAGCCTCGGTCCACCTACTAAAACAGTCGGTTGCTACCAGTATGTACGATTTTCCCTTACCGGAACGTGGGTATGGGCCCATTAAATCGACACTGATGACTTCCCATGGTTGCCGGGGGGTTCTTGGTTGCATTGGGTCGGTGGGACGTGAGTTTAGTGGTTTCGTGCACGCACATACGTGGCACGCACCTACATATGACCTGACGTCATTTTTTTGACCTTTCCAATAGTACCGTTGTCGAACCGCCCGGTACGTCTCTTTCCAACCCGGGTGGTTGGATAAGACGTGATCGTGACACCTCCAAATTACATGTTGTATTTTTGTTTTCGGTATCACGACGGGTGTGTGGGGGCCTACGTTTATGCGTAAGAGACCGTCGGAGAAAACATATGTGTTTGTTCCCGATTTTGTGCTCCTAGTGTTTCGCGTTGGTCCGTCCCACTTTTGACCGGCGACTATGTCGCGGATCGCGGCGTCTTCGGACTGCCACTTTCCGAGCGTCGACGCGGTGAGTGGTGTGTCGTCACTGTCGTGGTTATCGAACATGGAGAATATGCGATCCGACTCGGGGTCAACATTGGTTGTCGGCGTTACAGGTGCCCCTACCAATTTTTCCTCGAGTCGATCTTCGTCTACAGGTGTGCCCGGTGCCGGGTCGCGGGATAACAAATCGGGTGCTTAGTTTTGTATTCCCGGGACGTGTACCGTACTAAAATCTAAATTAGCTAGTTGTAGTGACCAACGTGTTAATTTTGAATTTTTGTCTTTAGCCCTGTGTAACCATGTCAGTGCCGAGTTAACTGTTAGGAGTTCGAAACGTCGGGTTTCTAGGTATGGCCGAAATTTGTCCGTTGCCCAAATTACTGCTAGGCACTCGCGTTCTACCGCGGCGTACCTCGTCTGTGTCTCGCTAAACTTTTTGCTTGCGTAGGATATGATGCGTCTTTCCTCCGGTCTGTCACCCCGTTGGAAGAGTACCGCGCCAGCTCCTATTTCGCTTGCATCGGTTTGGAGACAAAACGTTTTGCTGTAATCGGGTGGGGACAATTTCGGCGATGTGACTAGCGCGTTTTTTATTGATTCGAACGCGCGTTGTTCTACATCTGTCCATTTCCACCGAACCCCCTGTTTTAATAAATTAGTGAGGGGTGCTATGGTATCCGCGTAATTATCTACGAACTGGTTGTACCAATTGCACACGCCCAAAAATTTACGTACGTCCCTAACTTTTTTGGGAACCGGAAAGTTATCGATGCATACCAATTTTTCCGGTTGTTTTTGTATGCCCTCCGAGTCTACTATGTGCCCTAAAAATGAAATTTCGCGAAGACCGATTTTACATTTTTTTGTGTTGCACGTTAATCCGAATCTCTTGAGGCGCTCGAGAACTTTGTCTAGGTGGGCCTGGTGTTCGTACTCGTCCCTTGAGAATACTACAATATCATCTAGGTAAACTTGTACGAAATCATCCTGGTACCCCCTCATGACCTCGTTCATGAGTCTCACGAAAGTCATTGGACTATTTTTTAGACCGAAGGGGAGGACTCTGAACTGAAATAGACCTCTACGTGTCCGGAAAGCCGTGTATTTTCGCGCATTTTCGTGTAGTGGAACTTGCCAGTACCCCGACCTAAGGTCAAAAATGCTGAAAATTTTCGCGCCCCTCATTTGCCTAATCATTTTGTTGAGATCTGGCATAGGGTACGCGTCGGATTCCGTTACGTCGTTGAGCCGCCTGTAGTCGACACAGAGACGAAAAGTTCCGTCTTTTTTCTTTGCCAATACTACCGGTGCGGCCCACGGTGAGGTGCTAGGTTCTACGAGCCCCTGGAGTTCCATATCGCGCACCATATCATCGATAGCGGTTTGTTTTTGCTGCGGATATGGGTATGGTTTGAGCGCGATTGGGGACGGGTCTTTAAGCAAAATTTCGTGTTCAATTAGTTTGGTACGTCCTACTTTTTCGCTGAATACTACCGCGTATTTGTTTAAAATCTTGGTTAGTTTCGCGCGAGTTTCGGGGTCGTTTCCAAATTGTAATTGTGACAAGTCGGGACAAGTGGCGGGTGGTTGTGGTTTCCCTTTCCAGCATGTCGACGTACGAATTTGCCTACCCATGTGAATTGTGCATGCGGCGTAATCCCAAGAGACTTCATTGGTTACAAGAAAGTCGTGTCCTAGTAACGCGTCGCAATACAAATTGTCTAGGATGGTAGCTTCGAATTTTATATCGAGTGTACCTATCCTAGCTTCGAATGTGGAGGTGCCACTGGTTGTTGCAGTGTGACCGTCCGCCATCCGGACTGTGTTTGTTGGTCCGTGGGGAG